GCTTCTAATGTCCTGGCCCCACTGGTGGACCTCCTGATGGCACCTAGTATTTCTGGCCACTGTGTGACACAGAGTGTTGGACTGGATGGGCCTTTGGCCTGATCCAACATTGGCATCTCTTATGTTCTTATGTTCTTATGTGTTTTGCTCCCTCTGGGATGACTAGAGAGAGCAAAACACTCTGGGGGGGGGGACCCTGAAACAATAGGAACAAAACAAGTGACAAAAATGCGGAAGTGGCCTGAGTTGAGTGGAATGCACTCTCAGGGCAAAGCATGTTCCTGTTGTTCCTACAGAGAACACATAATGTGTAGGATTACCAGGTCCAGGTGGGGAAATACCTGGAGGTTTGCGAAGTGTACTTCAGCCTGGTATAATGCCATAGTCCACCCTCCAAAGCAGCCATTCTCCTCAAGGGAACTGATCTCTGTCATCTGGAGATCAATTGTAATAGTGGGGGATCTCCAGGTACCACCTGGAGGTTGGCAGACCTAAATGTGCTATATCCCCCCAAAAAAGTACAAAGGACTATCTCAATGGAGTCTGTTTGGCATTTACTAAGACCTTCAGCATTTAATGTTTATACGTTGTCCATTTCTATAGGGTGGGAATGACTTTTAAATCAAAAATTATGTTTTACGTTGTGCGCTGTACTGTGAATTAGGAGCAGGCGTGAGGGATAAGGGCAAAAGGACAGTCTGTTTAGGAAGGAGCATTTCCACCATTCTCCCAGATTTCAGAATAAGATGTTTCCCCTGTTTCTCTCTTTTCATTGTACCCAGCTTGTTCTGGTCTTCATCTTAACAGTAGTGACATTGTTAGTGAAGCATAGTCCTTCCAGCACCAAAAATCTGTCATCTGTCACAGGCAAGGAAGAGAAAACACCTGTCTCTTTTCTCTAGTGGCACTGCCTTTGTTATAACAACAGGAGCTGGGATACAAGAACAAAAACTTTGCCATAATCATGACCATTTAACCAGTGACTTCAGTTAGAAACATAGGCGTAATCTTCGTGGGGGCGGCGGGGCTTCAGCCCCCGCCAAAATTTTCAGGAAGGTGCTCAGCCTCCCCCGGGAGCCACCCTTGCTCCTAGCACAGCAATGCCTCTGGCCCAGCCCCAGCCCCCCCCCCGGGAAATTGGAAAGGCTACACCCTTGGTTGGAAATCTTTTTTTTGGAACGTACTGTACATAAGGGGAAGGGGGGGAACTCTTGGGCATATTGCACATTATATAAGAATTCTCTTCTTTTTTAATTATCAAATTTTTATTAGAAGATTTCAAGCAATAACAGCGATCAATAGCCAACAAAATACCAAAAATAAATAGTGACAATACACTGAAGAGCTATAATAAGCATAAACAAGAGCCTTAACTTAGTTGATTACTTTGTACACAGGAAAAACAGAAGTGATGTAAACATACAACATACTCATCACATTGTCCTTATAGTTAGGAATGGTGTACGATACTGCTAAGACTACATTAAACTCTGTCAATATTGCAAGGATTGAGAATCGAGACCATTTAGATGGAAGGATATCTTTGGCAGATATACTGGAGAACACGTGACCAAATGGATGTGAAGCGTGAGGTTGAGGCTGATACGTTACCATTAGCTGAGTGTGTAAGATTCGTGAGTTTTGCTAGAATAAATTGGTCCCGTATCTTATCGTACCACATTATATAAGAATTCTCAAAGAACATTATGACAACTTTTTTAAAAGTTCTGTGCTAGACGATAGGCAGTCCTTTTCAGTGCCAAACATTCCCCATAATAGAAGACAGCGATAAAATATAGTCTGCCTTCTAAAAGTATGTCTCAGTCTGTTCACGCATTCTCTAGATTTGCTTTGCATTATGAAACCAGTGTTCAAATGAAGCCATGTTTGCCTAAAAGAAAATTTTTAACTAAACTTTTTCTTTGACTCTACTCCCCTTCAGGGGCTTTGAGCGATTTAGGGAAAAATTTCACATTGAGAGTATTGGTCACAGTTGCTCTAAAACAGCCTATTTTGCATGAATTACAAAGGGAAGGAGGTCCAGAGTAGCAGTTTTCTGCTATACTGCAAAGAATTACTGGAGTCAAGCGAATAATGTGCAATTAATAATTTATCCAGCAGCTGCTTCCATATTCCCTCGCTCACAAGGTATTTGTAAGCATAAAAGCCATTTCCTCAATTTGATTATCATGTAAAGCATTCAGCAACTTTTCCTGTGTGTGGAAGATTTCATCACAAGTAAACTCTCTGTTAGTATTCAGGGCTCCCCTCTGCATGCCAGTTATTGAGAGGCGATCTACATGGCTCTTGTTCCCAAGACTTCT